CCCTGTCTCACTCCAGCCGCTCTCTCGCGGTCTCCCCGTCTCACTCCAGCCACTCTCTTGCGGCTTCTCCATGTCACTCCAGCCTCTCTCTCGCGGCTTCTCCGTCTCACTCCAGCCGCTCTCTCGCGGTCTCCCCATCTCACTCCAGCCGCTCTCTCACGGTCTCCCCGTCTCACTCCAGCCGCTACATGATACTTCTTCCTTCACTCCACTGCTACTCTATGCTTCTTTTGTTATTCCACTGCTACTCTATACTTCTGTTACTCCACTGCTACCCTATACTTCTGTTACTCCCTGCCTTCAGCTCCGACTATCTGCATCCACTCCCAGGCATGACTCCACTCCAACTCCCCACAACTCCAAAACTCCCTTCTATTTATCCCCGCCCTTATTAATTTCCAATTAATTAGTTGGCTTCCCCCCCGACGCCCCTCGTCCCCCAGCCCCCGCTGCCACCTGTCTCCTTTCCCAGACTTGTAGGCGCCACTCGGACTCAACAACAAAAACCAGCCAATCACAGCCCTGTATCCCTAATTGCTCGACGGGCTGTCTCCGACTCACCCTTTGGCCCCTGGTAACAGCTGGTGTCCCGATATGCCCCCACTGTACCCCACACGCACCTGTGTGCAATATTCCCCCTTGGCGCGTGTTAAACCACTACATATATATAGGGATAGGTTTCCGTGGTGAATCCAAGTCACGGGTGAAGCGGGGTAGTAAAGCTAGCCATCATCTATATATGTAATAAACCTTCTTGAGACGGCTTCCGGAATCAGTCCTTTTTATTTTCAACTTCCACAGTTACACTTTACACACACACTCTCCGTTGCTGGCAGACAACGGAGAGAGGGCAGACTTCCCGCCAAGTCCCTACCGCGCACGTGGCACCCAATGCCCCCGTACGCGCGTGACTCCCGCTCTTCTCGTTCCCAAGTCTGCTCTCGACTGCTCTCTCTCTCTCTCTTAATCCCTTCGTCACGTGGTACCTCCCAGCCAATCCTCCATAGACAGCGTTGACCCGATTGGCCAAGCCAATCACCCCTGCTAACATGCCGCGATCACGCCGAGGCCATGCTCCCTGGCTCATCCCTTATTGGCTACAAAGCAGGACCAGCAAGCCAATCCCCACGTGAACCCTCTATGGCTGTTATTACATCACCCCCCCCCCCCCCCCCCCGGTGAAAAAATCAGCCGTCTCGGCTGGGAAAAGGGTGATCAACCAATGCACCAAGGTGCATTTAACAACAAAAGGTGAAAGGGCGTCCCCGCGCCGAACAACACTTAAAAACAGTCACCCATGAAAAAAAACCCGACATACATTAGGGTGCCCCTGCAGCGCGGTAACGACAGGGAGAACAGCTAGACGATCAAACATTAACGAAACGGGAGAGATTTCGATCGCGTACGCGAGGCGGGACCCTCTCCGTTCCTAGCGCATGGTCGCTTTGCTTCCGGATCGACAGGATGTGGTAGGCTTGAAGAAGAAGAAAGTTATTAGTTCTTGGTCATGTCCAGGGCAGGCCCCGTTGGAGGGGGGGCAGCGGGGGCTTCCTCAGCCCTCAGAACCTGTTCATCTGTAGGATTCACAACACAGTCCCCCTTGGGATCAACGGGCGTGGCAATCGGCGTAATCGGCTCGGCAGAACCCGGCAGGTCAGCTAGTGGGGATGAAGGACCAACACGCGCGTCAACATAGGGTTTAAGTCGCGAGGAATGAACATACCACCGACGTTTTCCGTACTGAACGCGGATACTTTGTGAGTTCCGAACATCTACCAGCGTCACGGGCCCCCGCCACGGCCTGTGCAGTTTAGGGGATGTGCCCGCCGGTACCAGGGGGCAGTGGAGCCACGCCAGGTCTCCCACTGACCAAGGCATGCGAGTACGCGATCGACGCGCATACCATTCGTTCCTTGCCTGGGCACGGGCCGTCGCACACCTGGCAGCCTCTCGCACCTCCGTAACTCGTTCAAGCGAGTCCCGCACGTGATCAGGCAAGGAGCGGGACGGTTGTTTACTCGGCTTACCCAGTTGCACATCGATGGGTGGAACATTCTCATGGCCATACATAAAAAAAAATGGTGAGTATCCCGTGGACGTGTGTGGAACCATGCGGTATGCCGCTAAGACGCCTGGTATGTGCAAGTCCCAATCGGTTTGCTTTTCACTGACCGTGTGACAAAGCATAGCCGAGAGGGTACGGTTGAATCGTTCCACCATACCGTCTGATTGTGGATGGTATGGGGAAGTGCGAATTTTCTTTGAACCCAGCGCGTCACAAACCTTCTTAAGCAATTTAGAGGAGAAGTTCCGCCCTTGATCTGTGAGCAGCCTCTCAGGTGCCCCCTTGTCCATGACATACCCGTTCAAGAAAGCGTCGGTGATGGACGCTGCCGTCTGGTCGGGTAGAGGCCAGGCCATCGGCCATCGAGAAAAATATTCCACCCCGACCAGAAGGTATTTATTGCCCCGAGCCGACGGGGGAAACGGGCCCAGAATGTCCAGAGCAACTAATTCGTTGATGCGGGACACCTCAATGGAACGTAACGGCGGTACATAGTGGTTCCGAGGCGGTTTCCTCTTCGCACAATCATGGCATGAGCGGACAAAGTCATTGACGTCTGCCGTCATACCGGCCCAGAAAAAATCCTTTTGCATCGCGGCCAAAGTCTTTTGGACGCCGAGGTGCATCAACTTATCAGCGTGCAGTAGCGAAGCAAAGTAGGCACGACCAAGCGTGGTCGGTCAGACAACCCGTCGGTGCACATTAACAATCCCGACTTGCCTCGGAACATCTCCAACTTCCATCCCGCCAATTGAGATTTTTGTTTCCCTACCAATTTCCGTAGCGGAGACAGCGAGGCATCAGCCTCCTGCTCACGTAACCAGACCGCGTGCGGCAGCCATAAGGTATCATCGGTGTCCACCGACACCTGCTGGTCGTCCTCATTCGCTTTCGCCCCTGCGTCGTCCTCATTCGCTATCGCCCCCATAACCGGGCAGGGCGAGATGGGCAGTGCCGCACAGCGGTGCGTGCCCGTCAAGCAAGTGCACGGAGGAACGGGCGGCAGCCTTGAGAGCGCGTCAGCGTTCGCGTGACGGGCCCCCTTACGATATGTAATATTGAAGGAAAATTCCTGTAACGATTCCAACCACCGAGCCAATTGGCCTGACGGCTGATCCAATTTCAAGGAGTATTGCAAAGCCGCATGATCAGTGCGAACCAGGAATTTCCTTCCATACAGGTACGGCCGGTACAATTGAACAAAATGCACAATTGCCAAAAGTTCCCGCCTTGTCACGCAATATCGCGTTTCCGCAGGGGATAGAACCCTGCTGCCATACGCCACCACTCGCTCAACCCCGTCCTTACGTTGCGACAAAACGGCCCCAATGCCGATATCACTAGCGTCCGTATCAAGGATGAACGGCTGTGAGAAGTCTGGGTAATCTAGCGTAGGCGCTGTGGCGAGGTGGTCCCGAAGTGCTCTAAAATATCTTTCTTCCTCCGCTCCCCATTTAAACCTTTGATTTTTGCCCGTTAGAACGTGTAATGGTTTCGCCAACGTCGCAAAGTTCTTAACGAAGCGGCGATAATAGGAAGCGAATCCAATAAACTGCCGAACATCACCCACTGAAGTGGGTGTGGGCCACTCTTGAACACATTTGGTTTTCAGAGGGTCAGTGGACACGCCGTCTGAGCTGACAATATGACCCAAGTAACGGATGGAGTGTTGCAAAAGGTGGCATTTCTTAGGTTTAAACTTGAGGTCAGCCGCCCGCATTCTTTGAAAAACCGTCTCTAGGCGTTGGAGGTGTTCCTCGAACGTGCGGCTGAAGACAATTATATCGTCTAGATATGAGGCACGTTTCCCACTGTAGTCCAGCCAACACCAATTCCATGAGCCGTTGAAACGTCGCCGGAGCCGCATTCAAGCCCATAGGCAACCGATTGAATTCAAAGAGACTTTGCGGCGTGCGGAATGCCGTTTTGGCTTTTGACTCGTCATCGAGGGGAAGCTGCCAAAAGCCCGAGGACAGATCAAGGGTGGAAAAGAATTTAGCACCCGATAAAGCATCCAACGAGTCATCCATCCTCGGTAAGGGGTACGCGTCCGCCACCGAAATTTTGTTCAACCGGCGGCAATCAACGCAAAATCTTGTACCACCATCTTTTTTCTTAACCAGAACGACGGGCGCGCCCCAAGGGCTGTTGGACGGCAAAATAATATCCGCCACCAGCAATTCATCTACTGCTCCGCGCACGTGTTCCCTTTCCGCTGGGCTCATGCGATGAGGGTGCATACAGATGGGAGGTGCCGCACCGGTGTCAATATGGTGCGACAAAAGCGACGTGCGGCCGAGGTCCAAATCATTTCTGCTGAAAACATCAGCGTACCATAGCAATAGTGAACGCAGGGCATTCCTTTGTTCATTCGACAAGGAAGAATTTTCTCCGCATAAATCTGCGATCCAGCGTTCTTGCGAACGATCGTGCGGGCATCCGGGCGCGCGGCGTTTCGTCACAAGAGGCGAAATCGGTAGTGGCGTGAGCCAGCACCGATCCCTCCAGAACAACAACGCGGTCAGGTCCCCCATTCAACACCTGTATGAAAGGTGCCTGACCTGGTCGCACGATCGTTTGTGCCGCCGCCAAAGAAAAAGATTTAGATACCGAATTCGATGGGGATAATAGCACGCCCTTCACATCCCTTCCCATTTGAAGGGGTTTTCGGTAACGCAGCGGAATGAGCATTTGCGCTCCCGACGGAACCTCCACCGTAGCAGCGACTACGGCAGTAACTGCGTTAGCTGTAGGCGCACTGGCCAGCAGGGAAGGCAGGAACGCCATCCTACGACCCCCCGGCATTTCCAAACAATCCTGGTCGACCCGTATTTTCAGCGGCATCCGGCGCAGGAAATCAGTACCAAGCAAGCATGGGACAGCTAGCGAGCGAGAGATTAACACAGGTCCTGCGGCGGTAATATTTCCGATAGCGATGCTCATCTACCTGACCACAGGTACCCATGCTTCCCCCATTTGAGGCAACACACGCATCATTAACCCTGCGTATCCGCGACGTAGGAATGGACAACAAATGAAAAATAACATCTGAAATTATGGTAGCAGACGCGCCAGTGTCCACCAAGATACGGACGTCAACGCCGTCGATGGTACCCCGTACCATCGACGAGCCCGACGCCGCAGCCACAACCCTGCGAGCCAATTTCTTCCACTGTGTAGCAGAGCGTGTAAATGGAGAAGGAGAAGTAAAATTATCCTTAGGAGTGTAAGAATGAGTGCGAGTGGATGAGTGATGTGACACGACTTGCCGGGTGTCCGATTTGTGCCGACTCGCCCGAGGTTGTTGCAGTTCCGCAGCAGATGGAGGTCCCCTTGGCGGAAGAGGCGATAGCAGAGGTCGGCAGCGGCAGTCACGGGCGAAATGGCCCCGTCTGCCGCACTTGAAACACGCGGCCGTCGTCGGCCGGCGGTCGGATGACCCAGCCCTCGCACGTGGACGGCCTGCGTAGTCGCCACGCTGGTCGCGCAGCCGTCGTCCCGGAATCCTATGCGGAACAGCAGCAGCCAGCATGTCGTTGTCGCCAGAGTCGTCGGAGCAGTGGACAACCAGTCGTGGAGACCACCCCAAGGGCGGCCCGTCGATTTCAGGTTTCCCCGTCCACGCCGCCATCTGGTCCCAACGCTTGATATTAAACTTAGCGTCCAGGCAGCGCGCCACCCATCGCGATGTAAGCGGTTCGTGGCCGCACACTGGTAGAGAAATGTTGAGCTCCTGAGACAACTCCAGCATGTGGGAAAGGATGAGTGGATCCAAATGATCGGCCGTCGCGTTGGGGTAGGCAGCCATGGCCAGCGCCATCAACGCCCCCCGATAAGCCAAAGGCGACTCCTCCGATCCTCGGCAACGCGACATACATTTTCTGGTGGCTGACGTCGGTGGGTCGTAAAATTCCGCCATCTCTGCAAACGCATCTCGCAGTGTCTTCTTCTTGGACGCCGGGATGGAGCGGAAGACCCCCAGAGAAACATCATCAAGCAGTGTAGGTAGCGCTCCCAGCGCTTCATCCTCCGTCCAGTTCACGGATCTAAAAGCTGACTCGAAGCGCCACGTAAAAGCACTCCAATCGCCCCCGGCGATAAATTCTTTAATCTGTGGAAGGCGATGTCCGCGGTGGCAAGCGCGCGCCGCGGGCGTCTCCGACTGCTGTTCCCACGCTCCACCCGTTGCAGGCAAAATGGCGGCCGCGTGGCGGCAGGCGCGCCCAAAATGGCGGCCGACGGCTCCAGCGCAGCCGCCCCACCCAAAACGACGGCTTCTTCCCGCATGGCAGGAGCAATGGCGGACTCAGATTCTTTTGCAGGACCCCTTCCCGCGGCGTCCAGCTGATCCGCAATCTGGCGACCCACGGCTGGTGAGGACGCCACCGCGGTCACCAGGCTTAGCAGAATGGCGCGTAACGACTCGATCTGCTCCGCCATCAGCCGCCATTCGTCTTTTGTTCCTGCGGTGGTCGCATCTTCTCCCAGTCGACGTTGAGAGGCGTCGAGGAGAGCAGTATCAGCAGGCGGCATAGGGGCTGTAGCCCCCAACAGCTCATCTTCATCCGTCTCGACCTCTTCCTCCGATGGAGGCACGGGCAGGTTCTTTTTTCTGAGGTGCTTGGACATCTTGACGATCGTCCAAACGGTCGCAGAAGAACTTCTGACACCAATGTAATAAACCTTCTTGAGACGGCTTCCGGAATCAGTCCTTTTTATTTTCAACTTCCACAGTTACACTTTACACACACACTCTCCGTTGCTGGCAGACAACGGAGAGAGGGCAGACTTCCCGCCAAGTCCCCACCGCGCACGTGGCACCCAGAGCCTCTGTACGCACGTGACTCCCGCTCTTCTCGTTCCCAAGTCTGCTCTCGACTGCTCTCTCTCTCTCTTAATCCCTTCGTCACGTGGTACCCACCAGCCAATCCTCCATAGACAGCGTTGACCGTTCCCGATGGTTCCCTGTCAATCCCGGGACCACGCCTCTGATCCGGCTCCCCATTAGCTGAGGCCCCGATTGGCCAGGCCAATCACCCCTGCTAACATGCCGCGATCACGCCGAGGCCATGCTCCCTGGCTCATCCCTTATTGGCTACAAAGCAGGACCGGCAAGCCAATCCCCACGTGAACCCTCTATGGCTGTTATTACATATATATAAAAGTGAAATTTGTGAATGTCTGTCTGTTCAAAATGTTTAGCATACTTTTCGACATGCAACAAATTTGAAATTTGGCATGTGGGTAGCTTCCAGACTGTACACAAAAAGTATTAAAATAGACTTTTGTATTTTAGGGGGGGAGGGACAATATAATGGATAAATTTTGCACGGCAAGTGAGTGGTGACATCACATCTGGGATGTCACCGCATGCAGCAGCATTATGCAGTGTGCCAGCTGACGTCACGCATCCCGATCCCCCCACCCTCCATGTAGGCCGTGTATTGATCCAAGACAAGAATCCAAGTCCCGGGCGAAGCCGGGTAGTAAGGCAAGTTTATATATATCTCCATATATATAAAAGGCAAAGTTGTGATTGTGTGTCTGTTCAAAATGTTGAGCATACTTCCCGACATGCAACAAAATATGGCATGTGGTTAGCTTCCAGACTATACACAATGCAGAAAGTATAAAAATAGACTTTTGTGTTTTGGGGGGGGGGGGGGGCGCAATAATGGATATATTTCGCACGGCATGTGAGCTGTGACGTCACATCTGTCATGTGAGCCGCATGCAGAAGCGTCACGCAGTGTGCCTGCTCACGTCACGCACCCCCCCAACCCTCCGTGGGCACAGTGCCATACAAATGTGTTTCAGGTCTAGAGCGTTCTTTGCGCAGCATTGCTTTATTATTTAAGTCGTTTACTGCCGTACGCACCCTGAAAGTTGTGTGTGTCTGCAGCAAGCGCGTGTATGTGGACCTATGGCCGCCCGCGCGTTTGTGTGTGGGGGGAGCGGTAGTGTAGTGGTTAGCGCGCTGCGCTGCGAACCCAGTGACCCAAGTTCGATTCCCGCTCATGGCCACCACCGGTGACGATCATTTTAACCGGTCCTGGGCCTCCCCTCGGTCGACTCGGCTTCCAACGAGTGACTGGTGTGCTGTGTGAACATCGCCACTGGGGAGACAAAGGCGGCCGGCCGTGGTGCTGGCCACCCACCCCCTCGTGTGCCGTGCCGGCCTTCATAGGTGCTCGCTAAAAGCACTTGCCCCCTACAGACTCACAGGCTACATGGGGGATCTTTGTCTTTATCCTGTGTGTGGGGGCGGGCAGTGACTGCGTAGCGATTCGCGCGCTGCGCCACGAACCCGGCGACCCGAGTTTCATTCTCGCTCACGGCCACTACCAGTGACGATTATTGGAACCGCTCTTAGGCCTCCCCTAGGTCGACTCAGCCTCAAACGAGTAACTGGTGTGGTGTGTGAACATCGCCACTGGGGAGCCAAAGGCGGCCTGGCGTGGTGAATCCAAGTCCCGGGTGAAGCCGGGTAGTAAAGCTAGTCTATCCATATATATCAAAGGGAAATTTGTGATTTTGTGTCTGTTCAAAATGTTTAGCGTACTTCCCGACATACAACAAACTTGAAATTTGCCATGTGGGTACTTTCCAGACTGTACACTAGGCCTCGGCAAGGTAAGGTAAAAGTTAAAAGGTAAAAACAACGAGCCTATCTTTTACCCTTACCCCATACAAATTACCTGATTACAGGGTAATCACTAGGAAACTACACATGAACAAGGTTTATAATGGTAAATGCTGGGTAGAGCGCTTTATTCATTTAGAATACTCTCGATGATTCCAATTTTACACGCTCGTTGTTGTCGTTGTTGTCGTTTTATCCTCAAATCTTGTAACTAAACTTTTACCCACTTCCTAATGTGGTATCGACTGCAAACTTGGTATACTTATGGTCATACTGATGACAAGACTATATTATATCATAAAAATATATATATTTTTAAACATTCTTTTTTATATGTTATGTTTCGGCTTGGGTCTAATTGTCCACGGTCAACTGACGTTGGCTGTAATTGGCCACGGCCCCTTACGTTATGGCAAGCTTCGGGGCCACTTCCTGGAGTTGTGGAGTTCTGCCATTATTAGTACATTTAATAAAAGCGTGTTTTTAATAAAGTTTTTTAATATTGTTAAATGGAGGCCACGGACTGCGCCACGGAGCTTTTAGTGGTAAACTAGGTACTGTATTTACCGGGTAATACTTCGCGCTACCTTTACCCTATCGGGTAAATCTTCCGAGCTACCTTTACCCTGTTACCCTTTACCTTATCCCTTGGCATGTCGACACCTTTACCCTTTACCCGGTAAAAAGGGTAAATTACCTTACCTTGCCGAGGCCTACTGTACACCATGCAAAAATTATAAAAATAGACTTTTGTATATTTTTGGGGGGGGGGGGGGCGCAATAATACATATATTTTGCACGGCAAGTGAGCTGTGACGTCACATCTGTCATGTGGCCCGTTTACGGAAGCGTATCGGAGTGTGCCTGCTGATCGCGGGTAAAGTGAAATACAAATGTGTTGCAGGTCTAAGGCGTTCTTCGCGCAGCATTGCTTTATTATTTCAGTCGTTTACTGCCCTCCGCACCCTGAAAGTGGTGTGTGTCTGCTGCAAGCGCGTGTGTGCGTTTATGTGGCGGTAGTGTAGTGGTTAGCGCGCTGCGCTACGAACCCGGCGACCCGAGTTCGATTCCCGCTCACGGCCACCACCGGTGAAGATTATTTGAACCCGTCCTGGGCCTCCCCTAGGTCGGCTCGGCCTCAAACGAGTAACTCGTGCGGTGTGAATATCGTCACTGGGGAGACAAAGGCGGCCGGGCGCCGTGAATCCAAGCCCCGGGCGAAGCTGGGTAGTAAAGCTAGTAGTGCATATAATAGTAATCCGTACGATAAACAATTCATAGATCAAAATAATTTATAATAACATGAGTACATGTACTCACGAGTGCATTCGACTGTACTCCTATAAGGCATTGGTTGGAGTTGCTGCACTCTCAACCTGGGTCTTAGTGACTCCCTCAGTCAATTTTGTGGTGAGGTTTATTTGAGATGTCACATGAAACTATCCTTGTCTCATATAAGTTCTCACCTGCCTAAAGGCACTGTAATAATAACATGATTTTTTTTTTTAAAATAACCATAGTCGAGGTTTTTTGGATTAGATTTCATAAATATAAAGGTTTCTCACGTTGTTTACGAGTTCAGCACGCCGGTGTGTTGGAAAGTAAACCCACAACATTTACAATTTGAGTGACAATGTTTTCACCGGTACACTTATATTTACACAATATAATCCAAAAAACCTCTGATAATATTGGTCGCGACAGCCTATGTGCTAAAAATATATAATTTGATTTGCTTTTTAAAATGGAATCGTAGCCACGAATCGTGATAATCGAATCACGGGGAGTGGTGGGGTCTGGTTAGCTCAGAGCCATGCGTCGCTCTCAATCGCTGAGCGAATGATGGGGGCGACTATGTTTGGGGGCCATCCATTTTGTACGTATACAGAGGGGGGAGGGGAGGTTAACCCAAATGCGTACGCTTGCGTATGGGGGGGATCTACTGACATTGTACTTACTCGTAGGAAATGAGAGGGGGTTAAGCCTCGATAATAATTTGTATACATTGGCCTTCAAATTAGTTTGATAGTCCGGCGGTGGACTATCTGTTTGCTTAAACACGTTACTATATACATATGCCTTTTGGCATCCTCTGGTCTAACATCCTTTGAGACGAGGCTCAAAAGAAAACTATCTGGTTTGGACCAATCAGTTTCAAGGGCAATGCATATGTAATGTAGGAATTTGGGCGGGAGACGACTTGACGGGTAGCACACTTTTATTAACACCAACTTCACTAACACGTGTGGCCAACTGCAGCCTACGCTACGCGGTTCCCCCGGCTACACACACACGGGCTCTCCCGCCCCGTAGCTTCCAGGGAACCCACCCCGGCTGGGGTATGGGTCCCGACCACTGGGTCCCACAGCCTCGCCCTCACACGGACGTCAGGCCGCGGGTCCCATGGTCTCGCCTCTGAGCCGCACAGGGTCCCGGCCCTTACAAGGACAGCGGGACTAGGGGTCTCAGGGCCCTATCTCTTCCAACTCCGTCTTCGATCTTCACTGGTTACCAACTCCCCGAGCGCCCCCGCGCATCGCCTTTTATAGTCCTCCGCTCCCGGGGAGACGGAGCCTATGCGGACCTCGATGTGAGCACCCACCCTAGTTGACCAATCACCACGCGCTGCCACATGATCCTTTTTCTCAGCTTGTGTCAGCGCACACAACCACTCCCCACGCGCTGCCACACGATCCATCACTGTCAGCGCGCGTCACCACTATACCACGCGATGTAGCCACACCCGACGCGCTCTCACACGCTCCCCCCTTGTCAGCGCGTACCGTCACTACACATATATTATCAGAGTAAGTTTTTTGTTTGCATTCTGACACCAAGTATTGTGGTTGATGCAGACATGATTCCTTGTAAAAGGTTTCAGTTTGGTGTTTTAACATCATAACACCTGTTTTGTTTCCAGAAAAGGGAAAAACCTATTATCACACGTTACTGTTATTAATCCTTGATCGTTTCTACGTGGATTAAATATCGACCGTTCTATAGGATTCGGGAGGGGGTGCGTCAAGCATACGTATGCAGGTGGGGTATGCAGGTGGGGCGCGGTGTAAAAGAACGCGTGCCTACAGGGAGGGGGGAGGAGTCAAGTTTTGACAGATTTTTGCATACGTGTAATGCGAGCAAGGGTTGAGGGGGGCGGAGTCTGGGTTACGTGAGGAGAGGGAGGAGTTAGGGTCACGTGGGGGAGAGGATTTAGGGAGAGAACCGGAAGGGGATCAGGGAGTTGAAACGGAGTGAAACAGGAGGAGGCCACGCTGGGCAGTACTGGGAGAGTGGCGCGATCACCACGTGTTGGGAGACCTCGGCACTGTCGGCCATCGGTGTCCGGAGCAGCAGTGGGGCTGCAGAGCGGAGCAGCAGTGTGACTGCAGAGCGGAGCAGCAGTGTGGCTGCAGAGCGGAGCAGCAGTGTGGCTGCAGAGCGGAGCAGCAGTGTGGCTGCAGAGCGGAGCAGCAGTGTGGCTGCAGAGCGGAGCAGCAGTGTGGCTGCAGAGCGAGCAGCAGTGTGGCTGCAGAGCGGAGCAGCAGTGTGGCTGCAGAGCGGAGCAGCAGTGTGGCTGCAGAGCGGAGCAGCAGTGTGGCTGCAGAGCGGAGCAGCAGTGTGGCTGCAGAGCGGAGCAGCAGTGTGGCTGCAGAGCGGAGCAGCAGTGTGGCTGCAGGGCGGAGCAGCAGTGTGGCTGCAGGGCGGAGCAGCAGGGTGGCTGCAGAGCGGAGCAGCAGGGTGGCTGTGGAGTGATCGACGGAGGAGACGCGGGCCTGAGCGAGGACGCCGTGGGAGCGAGATTTACACGAACCCAAATAAAGGACAACGGAGATCGACACTGTGAAAGAGTCCTTTATTACATACGTACTAAATGGATGGCCCCTTTCCTCAGCTAGCGTTGCTGCTTGTTATCACTCGTAAGCAATCTGTCGGTGTTTTCGTTTCTCCAGGACAAAGAGCGCTATAATTAATCAGCTTGCTATGGGGTTGTGCTAAGCGAGGTCTGCCTGTTCTTAAAATATGTGTATGGATTCTTGGAACATGAGGTTATAGTTTGAATAATGGGAATTCTTCATAGATTTGTTCATTGCTTGAGTTTATTAATACTGTGATTTCTTGAGTGGGTTCACTTAGCTGATCAATCTTGTCCCCCCGCAGCTTCCCTCCTTCCGTCACGGTGTCAACATTATCAACGAATCCTTAGGGGCGTGCTTCTACCTGGAGGTGAGTCATGATACGAGAACGTAAGCCTCAATGTGTGCACTTTCAAGTAATGACAAAGGGTTACATAATGCAACCTTTCAAAGTAATGTGGAGTGAAACTCTTGATGAAAATGTTAGATACCCATAACATGTTACAATTTTGTTTATGTTGTGCATGCCACAACATATGCCGTAAAATTACACAATGTCAAAATGAATATGCTCGTTTGAAAATGTCTTAGATGAATTGTGTGAATGTTTTGAACATATTTTCATAGGTTTTGTTTGGAATCCATACTCTTTGGTTCTTTTGGTAAAGTCACGTAGGTATAAAATAAATCACGACGTTTAGATCGCAACACAAGCGGTCGTCCTCAGGCGGAAAAAATATAATCCAGCAGTGGAACTGCTGAACTAGCGGGAGAGCAGCTACAACAAGGCTATATATGTGGCGATGGGCAAGCAAGCGGGGTCTGAGCTGTAAATGAATTCCACCCCCGGATGCAAGCACCTCAGTTGTGTTAATGGGTAAAGTCTTAACTGACTGTGATGTTTCCATCCTACCTGCCGATGTCAGCTGTTATTTCGGACTCTCTGTCTCTCTCTCTATGCCTCTCTTAGATCTCTCACATGTCCTTTGGATTGTACTCTCATGCTCACATACCATTTGGATTGCACTCTCATGGTGCTAATCTCTCATTAACACTGCTGTTGTGCGTATATGCGGGCATGATACTCTTATGCGGTGACAGAAGCTCATTCATGCTAATCTCCCTCTCTCCCTAATCCCCCATTAACACAACTGAGGTGCTTGGGACGGGGTGGAATTCCTTTCCAGCTCAGATCCCGCTTGTTTGCCCATCGCCACATATATAGCCTCCTTGTTGTAGCTGCTCTCTCGCTAGTTCAGCTGTTCCACTGCTGGATTATATTTTTTCTGCCTGAGGACGACCGCTTGTGTTGCGATCGAAACGTCGTGATTTATTTTATTTTATACCTACGTGACTTTACCGAAAGAACCAGAGTATGGATTCCTGCAGTCATTTGTTAAAAAAAGCTTTATATTTAGAGATGAAAAATATTGTGAATGAAAAATTGGACCAAGTAACAAGATAACTCAGGCCATAACCTCTCTTATAGTTGTTTTAATAAAGTCGAGAACCATGACAAAATTCTTAATAAGATGGGAGATGCTCAAAGTAAATCAAGAGGAATGAAAATTGAAAAGGTGGCTCGAACTCCTCAGAGGGAATATTGACAAAACAACGGAAAAAGGGATTGAAGCAACGTTCGTAAAAAGTGTGTTTGAAGTACAGGCATGTGTCACTTATGGTTGGCTACGTGTGGTGTGAGGAGCAGTATCCAGCAAAAACAACCCCCTTCCTCGATGGTGCCGGATGGTAACTCTGTGATGGCTGTGAACACAGCAATGGGGGAGGGGCAATTCCAATCAACTGTTCTCTTCATAGTGGGGATGGAATTGCTGAGGTTAGAGTGCCTCAAATATTGGAAGAAGTAAGCACCCCTTGTGAGTGGCTGACTGAAGTGCCCTCTATTGAAGAAGTACAGAAGGCAATCCAGAGTCTTGAGACCAGGCGTTTATGTGCCGACTGTCCTATATGACATAATCACAACTGTCTGGACCACTGGACGGGTTCTGCAGGATTGGAAGGATTCCCTGGTGGTCCCCCTCTTTAAGAAGGGAGACCGCACAGATTGTCGTAACTACAGGGGCACCTCCCTCCTCAGTGTGTCGAAAAAGGTCATGGCAAGGATTACTCAACATCGCTTTGCCAGGCACTCTGAGGAGAGCCTTGCAGAGCCACAATGTGGTTTCAGGCTCGGGTGATCCTGCACGGATGACATATTTTCTATATTTTCTGTTTGTCTGCTATAGAAGAGGTGTAGGGAATTCCAACAGGACCTACATCTCTGCTTTATTGGCCTGGTCAAGGCCTATGATACCATCAATAGGCCTGGGCTCTGGGTTGTTCTTTGTACTTTTGGAGTCCCGGACTTTCTGCTCAGGTAAAGCTATGTGGCTAGGAATCAGAGCCATTCCCTGTTCACCTTGGTACCGACAGGGATGTCCTGTGGTGCCTACATTACTTAACATATTTTTCGGCCATATAATTCGAGAAGCCTTCCATTGCTGTACCGGAGGAACTGCCATCTGGTACATATACAATTTGAGGCAGATGGATGCCCAGGTGCAGTTGAGGGATGGCTCCTAATTGGTCAACCATGTTATGTATGCTAATAATCTGGTGATTGCTGCTCACTCGGAGAAGGAGTTGGAGGCTCTGCTGCTTGACCTGGAGCATGCTACTATAAGGTTGGGCGTTACCATCAGCCCCACTACAACTAAGCATGTGCCTGGGTATTTCGTATCATCAAAAACTTCACCCCTCAACTCTCCATTGGTGATGGGGCAGTTGTGGAGAGAGTGGAGAGGTTTCCATACCTTGGCAGTGTGCTTATGACCAGCTCCGGTTAGACGGCAGAGGTCTTACTCTTCATCAGTCAAATGGTATCATCATTTCATCAGCTGCATAATGCTGTGGAAGCTACCCGGTCTGTCGCTCCATATGAAGATTAGGGTCTTCATGGCCACAGTCATGCCCTCCCTTATCTATGCTTACGAAACGTGCACCCCCCTAATGGAATATCATCACCGGTTAGATACATTCAGACTGGCCTGCCTACGGTCCATCCTGGGTTTAACCAGGCTGGAATGTTTAAGAGCTCACAAATCCCTTGAAAGATCTGGACAAAGTCCCTTTGGTGAGCTCCTCCATCAGGCAAGGCTGTGTTTGCTGGGTCATGTAGCACACATGCCCAGCCACGACATGTACAAATAGTTTTTGTTCAACTGGATATAGGGGGCTAAATGGGCATGGCACGGGCAAGATAAGAGATGGAATGATGTGGTCCGAGAGAATATAGAGTTGAGTGGACAATCCAATGACCGGTACAAGCAGTGCCAAGGTCGACCTCTGTGAAGAAGGCTCGTGAACGATGCCACCGGGTAGTTGGAGGTAGTCACCCTCCAACAACAGCAGAGGGCAGAGGAGTGACTCTCACAACAATGAGCAGAGCGCTGGATGGCTAAAACAGCAAGTTGGCACAGTAGGGGACACGGATGGTGCATCTACCGGTCATCTCAGTCAGTCAACCCATGGTACCTGGGTTTGTTCCGTGACCACCTGCCAGTGAGCATTTGACTCTTCACATGGCCTTAAAGTGCACATAACCTGGCACAAGGGCCGTGGTGACATCACGACCACTTAGTGGCGAATGGTGGTTGTTGTGGGGAGCGGAGCTACGAACCCGGCGACCAGAGTTCAATTCCTGCTCACGGTCAACACCAGTGAGGATTATCTGAACCGGTCCTGGGCTTCCCCGAGGCCGACTCAAATGAGTGAGTACCTGGTGCAGTATTTAAACATAACCACTGGGGAGACAAAGGTGGCCGGGTCATGGTGCTGGCCACTCACCCCCTCGTGTGCCGTGCCAGCCTTCATAGGTGCTCGCTAACAGCACTTACCCCGACAGTCTGTTAAGGCTATATGGGGGATCTTGCACTGGTGCTTCATGTGTGGTAAGTGTTAAATTTGATGTTTTATTACTTTATTTTAAAATGATACAATAATTGGTATTTCTCACATGATAGAAGTTGCTCAAGAGTGGAACATTTTGGGGTTGGAATGTAACTCAGCTTTTAACGTGGCAGAGAGTCAATGGGAAAACAATGATCATTTAACGAGATTTCGCTTACCGAGCAATTTGCGTGGAATACATCGTGCTCGATAAGCGAGACGACACGCCTGTATAGCACAATATGCATCTCACGGATGGGGCCCAACTCATGAGTTGAAAGGAATTTGGAACATGATACAGATGTGAGCTCCCAGTGGCAGAAAGTTTCCTTAGAACACAATTGTCTTCAATTCATGAGCCAACTGTTGTGCTATCCCTGTTATCCTGTGCACAATGCCTGGGTCAGGATATCCATTCCAGCAAAGTGCTTTCCCATTCAATCGTACATGCAGCCTTGTTCATCTCCAGTTCATCAGCCTGAGCTTGTGGTAGAATTACATATTCTTATGGGGTCTATAGTACAGTCACTGTTGACTTCACACTAAATAGTATGTATATTATCAACCCCAGGGGGTTGAAAAGCTGAAGAGACTAATTGTTTTGATCCTCTTGTCTTAATCATTGTGCCACTTGGTCATTCTATATTTAAAGTCAACTTGAAGATAACAACGTTCGTGTTTTAGTCAAAATGTCTATATTTATGGACGGAATTGGTGTCAAACAAGGTGGAAATAATACCTATGGTTATTATTTGTTGCAATTCACATACGTTGTTTGTCTGTGCAGAATCAGTTCAAGGCACAGGGCACAAAACTGATGCCAGATGGAGCAGCAGAGCAGGCCTTGGTTCTGCAGCGCACATTTGAGGTCCTCACCTTGCAACAGAAATCTGGTGATGATCACACATTGCACACATTTGAAACTCGCGTATGAACCTAGTGGCCCGCACATTACGGAAGCATGACTAGTGCGTTATATTTTGTATGATGCACTGTGGACACAGTGGTCCACACACTGTCGTGCAGGGGAAGATAAAAATCACGTTGCTTGGGTGGAATATTCAGTGGAGTGACATGTTTCTTAGAAAATGTATTTAAATCCCCCTATCACCAGTGCTGTATTATAATGATATGTTCTCACATTATATGAATTTCTTCAAAATCCTTATAGTTGCTTGTTCTAGCACTGTGAGACACAGAAAGAGAGGTGGCACATCAATGTTGTTATCACTTTCTCTACATCTGTCCCTTCTTACTCAGTATCTTCGTGTCTGCCCTTTCTGCCTCTGTGTGTACACTTTTTTTTCCGCTCCTCTCTTCTCTGTCTCATATGCCCTCACCATTTAAGCAATTATTTATGCACGGAGCCCTGGATTCACCAGCAGGGCTTGTGGATTTCCAGGATATAAATTGGGGCAACAATTAAGTTGCATAATTCGGCCTAAAAAAACATACATTTTGCATACTCATTAAATTGAACATTCCTAAATCTACAGATGCACATTGTGCAAAGTAAGAAAAACCCATTACATACCATGCCAGTCCAAGACTGGTAGATCAGAATCAAATCCTCTCTAACCCTTTTGGAAGATCCGTCCAATATGTGAATATAGCTTGCATCCATTTGCAGATATAAGCTCAATTGATGTTGTTACAGATGTTTCTGGATTAATTGAGCCAAATAAAATGCTTTTACAGGTCTAATGAAGAGAGTTGATGCCACAGTGGGGACGTTTGGCAAAAGTGAATTACACCTGCTCGGCATTATAGAGCATGTATAATATGAACAGCAAGGTCATTGCAGACAGATGGAAAACCAGTTGATAAGGAACAGAGAAAGGAGGTGACTTTCAGTATCTAGATTTGATTTTGTAAAGGAAACAGGAGAGGAAGCTAAAATGAAATCAGAAAATCCTACTTTAGTTCAATACGACATTTAATAATAAGTGATATGCACATTTTTTTTAACAAAGTGGGGTTTCCTGGTGGTCTGATGGCTGGGATAACTGAGGGGAAATCCGCAGGCAGATGATGCAAATGTGTTCCCAATTAAGATGTTATATCAAAATAAATGCCAAAAAAATTTGGAACCTGTTATGCCTTACAATTGTAATTGTGATTGATTTGTATTAAGCACCACTAACATGTGCATTGCATCATGTATATCAAGGCAGAGGAATCGGGCTCTCAAATCATCCCTACGCAGTTTAAAATTATATCTCCCTCAAGAGACGTCCTAAATAGACATATTACCTCAATTGAGTTTTACCTAGGTATAAATAAAAGTTACATATATTTTGATTGACTACGTGTGGTGCCTTTTGCTATGACTGTATTTGTTGGAATTGGTTTTATTCGAGGATTGGTTGTTTTTAAAGGTATCTACTGTTGTGTTTTAGTTCTGCATTGCACATTTCGTAAAACTTTTGCCTTTATCTTCATTCAGGGGATGTCATCTACTACAACTGGCGCATTCCAGTGCAGGAGCGGCACAACTCTGCTCTGAAACGAAATACTGAGGCATTGGCAAAGGAGCTGTTGCTATGGGAGGGGTATCTTGCCAAGGTGTGCTACAAAAATGATCAGCATTGATATGTGTGAATTTACACATCTTCTTTCAAGTTGGTTGTACATGTTAAATGTGTATTACTAATTCAAGTTATCATAATTACGATTCATGAGCAGATAGCCTGAAGGTCTCTAATGAACGTTTTATCAATCTTGATTTGAAGCTTTCGTGACTGCAAGAATCCACACTCTTTGGTTCTTTTGGTAAAGTCACGTAGATAGACGGTCGCTTGTTGTTGCGATCGTAACGTCATGGTCTATTATTTTTTCTACCTACGTGACTTTACTGAAAGAACCAAAGAGTATGAACGTTTTATCATTCGTTTCCACTATCCAATATGTTCAAGTAGTGCCACATCTTTCTGTCACTAATCTCTTATGTGTCATCAAGCCATTCTCTGCTAGGTTTTCCTCTTTTTCTGGGTTCTTCTATTTTTCCGCAAAAAATCCTTTTTCATTTTCCAATTGTTGTCCATCCTACATATGTGTCCAAACAGTGTCTGTTTCCTTCTCATCACTCCGTGCATCATTGGGTATTTTTCTATGTTCAACGTTTTTTTATTTCTACGTTGATCACTCTTTGGGCTCAGTTTAGATGCAGTATCCTTCTCTAGCAATACATTTAGAGTGCCAATATCTTATCTCTGTCAGCCTTTTTTAATGTCCCAAGTCTCGCAGGCATACAAAGCTGTACTGAACACGCATGTTCTTAAGATGTTCAGTTTGGTCTTGTAGCTGATTTGCTTGCTCATCCAGATGTTATTGAATCCTGCCATTACTCCTTTTGCCTTGCGATCCTTGTGAAGTCATTGTCCCATGTCAGTAGACTTGCCAAGTATACAAATTTCTTTACATTCACAATCTTGCTGCTTTCTATTATTACTCCTCCCTTTTGAACACCATTGTCTTTGGCCTCTCCACGTTCATCAGTCCTTTCCTGACTTATTCAGCGTAGGAACACTTTCTTGCAGCACTACGAACCTTTCTTCCATCAGATCTATGTCGTCCACGAATCTCATGTTTTTTATTCTTTCACCTTACACAGATATTCCTGTGCCATTGTCCTGAATGGCATACATCACTCTTTCCAAGTATGTGATGAAGTTGTTTGGTGATAGTGGATCTCCCTCATTACTTATTGTTGTTGGGAACCATTCTCCTATTTCCTGTCCAAAATTTACTGCTGAGTTTCACCTGAGTATTAAATATTAGCTTGTCATTTATGAAGGAAGTTGTAGCAGTATCTCCCCTCTTGAATTTAATTATCCATACCTTTGCATGATGCGTTCCCATCTGGCGTTATCCTTCCCAAGTCTACCACAATTATCTTGATATCCTTCCTAGGAAGTTCCTTTTATGTGCTTTACATCATTTCATATAATTCTTCAACATCCTCTTCTGCGCTATCTGATGTTGGTGTATATATTTAGATGACAGACATGTTTAGGGGTTGCCCATTAAATCTCGTGACAATTACTTTTGGACTAACCGGTCTGTATCCCAATAATGATGCTTTGGCTTTTGTGCTCAACAAGAAACCTTCTCTGGTGTGTACTTTACCTTCCCCTGACCAGATAACATCACCCCCATTTATCTCCCCTGTTCCTGTCCATCTCATTTCTGCTAGTCCTAGGATGTCGTACCTGGTATCTTTTTATTTCCTTTGCCTATAGTGTTCTCACATTTCGTGTCCCTACTGTAATCTCCTCATTCGCCATTCTCAGCCTCTTCGTTGTTTCGGAATGTGGCTGCTTTGTTTTCTAATGGTGTCGTAGCTGCTGCTGCTGCCATTGCTGCTTTCCGGTAGTACATTTTTCTACCTGATCCTGGTTATTCAATCGGACCTTGTTGACCCCGGCGACATCAGAGCTTGCATCCTTCGTCTTCTGCGGTCGTCATGTGTATTAGATTCCTTTTGTATTTTTTTACGGTCCGAGGTATCAGCAACCCTTTTGCCCGACCCTCCTCCGTTTTATCTGGGCTTGGGACTGGCTCAAATATCTACTGGAATTCTGGACCCCCTGAGGTGGAACACAAGTTGTATTTTACATAGATATGAGCTCTTATTCAGTGATTTAAGTGCTAATGATATTTGACCAGCAAAGTTTGAAATACTCACGGACGTTTTGTAAAGTAGATATTTCGCTCTTAATAAATGTGTCGTCACCCTCCACCACCTGACACAGCCAGTAAGGTTTGTCACGTAAACAATGCGCCAGTTAGTTACTTCAGCCCACTGGTGTGTTGGACAGTAAATCCGCAACATTTACAAAACCTGCAACATTTACAAAACCTTTATTATGAATGATATTGGTCGCGAAAGCCTATGTGTTAAACAGATATTTTGCTGTTGTTTTTTAGATGGGCCCAGGTTCCTACATTGCTGGAAAAGCCTTCACCATCGCTGATGCTGCCTTCTTTCCTACCCTTGCTTACTGCTTCAGATTTGGGTAAGTTCTAAGGTACATGGGAACTTTTCCACAGTGGCCTGCAGAGCAGCACATGCTTGAGTCACAATGTGTTCTGTTGAAAAGAAGCTGGGAAATGCAGAGATCCTTTGCTATAAAATGCTGAGCTGGTAGTGTATCCCAAGTGTATACTTTGTGTGTGTGTGTATATATATGGCCGTTTTCAAGCTCTCCTTTAACGCTGCTAAAACATGTGCATACAAGTAGAATAGCAGTGCGAGGCGTAATGGAAAAATGTGAATGTCGACTTCAGTTGTGCACAAGAACGCCACCTTGACGAGGTGGTGCAACTTACCAAACGCATTTCTCCTCGCCCTGCAGCCGGGTCACATGACGCCAAACACCCAGTTGGTACACAGATAGCATGGCTTAAATGTTTTATTGACTTTAAATAATTATCGAGTGAATGGGGGGGGGGGGGTCAATAATAAGTTAATACATATTCAGTATTTAGGATTGTCAGAATAAAAAAAATTCCGCAAAAATTATTGATCACAGCCGATGATGTTGACGGCTATACATTTATAATTACATACTTGCATGACCGCATTAATTTACATTAATTCAATTGTTGCTACATTTGTAAATATGAAAACATGTGTAGTGACTCAACTCGGAGACAGTAATACTTGGAGGCACTACTTTTATTAACACACACCATCGGGGTAACACACACCCTACGTGGGTGCACACTATTATTATTATGACCGTCTGCTGTCGGCGGCACTACTAAGTTAGAACAGTTGATAGGCTGTCTGACTAATAGCACCCCGGGATGGTGAAGACGGAGACGACGACGAGGAGAAGGTGACGACGATGGACTTGAGCAGCATGACGGGAATCCCACTTCCAGCAACAGCTCCGAGCTCCCGCTCAGGGCCCCCTCTTATACTCCCAGCGTGGCCTTGCTCCGCGTTGGCCACGCCCCCTTTCTAGAACCTACTCGCGGGTTCCCGGGGCTCCCCGATAGGCCCCTTCTGTGAACTTTCCCCGAGATGTCCGTCTCTCATATACTGACGCGAGTACTGCCGTACACCGCAGTTCCCCTTTTCCGCCAGCAGCCAGCGCTATACCACTACACATGTAAAAAACACTAATAATGCACGTAATAGTTAATGCAACAATATGTTTTTCACGAGTGTTCATTTAAACTTCAGTGACAATGCACTGTGCACTATTAATATAGCAGTTTGCAGTTTTTCTCTACATTCCAATTGAAGTCTCAAGCCTTTTTTTCAGGAGTGTCCTACATTTCACATTCGGGAGAGAACCGCTCGCTGTGTTTATTAATCAAGCAAAGTGCGAGTAGTTGTTTAGGTTTTGTCAAATTTGGACCATGACTCCTGCAGTATCGCGGATAATGTACAGCTGATATTTCCGTAAAATGTTTATTTTTCTTTCCTATCTGCGTGTGTGCTGTACCCACTCCAAGTTACATTATGGGATCTTTAACATTCCACTGTGATGCAGGATGGGTACATTTTATGGTTAATACACCAGGTATTTTCCATACACCTGTAGTTATTTACTAGGGCGTTCTACTGAGTTCAAACCATACACCTCTAACAGGTGGCGAACGTGCTACCACTGGGCCATACCACGGCTCCAATGAAAAAAATATCAAAAATATGCTCTCTATCCAGTTACCTTCTCACTTAAATGTTTTACAATTTATTCTCAGAAGCGACCTAGCTACCAATGATAGCTGAACAAAGTTGCTTATCACGTGGCAATGTATGGCACCCAAATACTCTTAAATGCGTGATGTTGATTTTAAATATGAAGGGAAAAACCAGAGGACCTGGAGAACAATCCACATAACCACAGGGAGAGATATTCAAACTTCAAATATACAGGTGTCAGGGTCGGGATCGTATCAACGACTTCCTTTATACCATGCGAGGGAGATAAACATCTCGCCACTGCAGTGCCCAAATCATTTGGAAGTCGGACAGTACTGTAGTTAATAAAATATGTTTACACATTATTTTGCTTGTATGGACTTTGGATATTTTAAATTAGATTTAGCTATGCTTACAAGTTAAATTTGTTTTATGTTTATTTTCTATCGTTTGTGCATTGTGTGTGTATGCGTGCAGACTGTCTGCAGAGAGGTACCCGAATCTGGGTGCCTACTACAAGCTGCTGGAGCAGCGTCCGAGTGTGCAGGCGTCCTGGCCTCCACACTGGAAGGAGAATCCACAGACACAGGATCTTCTCAAGGAGATATAAACATCCTCCACGTTGATTTAGCCTGTACTCAAGTGGGGTTTTGACTTCTATTATCTAATATGATATAAAATGATTTTGTAGTCTTAAAAACCATTGTTTCATTGCATAGCTCTGGTTTTTTAACAAAAGCTAAGATCACAATGTATGGGATGTATTGTATTGCCTTAATGCATTTGAAATTAAACACCTTAAATCTCAAAATGCTTTAGAGCACCCCGCACCCCCCAGTTGAACTGTATTGCCAAATATTTTGTTATACACAATACCACCACACATCTCGCAATATTCCAACCCCGAGTGACAGAAAAGATCACGCTGGAAAAGCTCACGCGAGAAATAAGAAATTTCAAATTATTCCCCAAGGAATATCTCTCCAAAAAGAGAAAAACTTAGAAGCAGCTGAGGCGAGATTGACCACACATCTATAATCAGAATAGCATCGTGTCACATGGCCATCTTTCGATTTAAAGCTTTCGTGACTGCAGGGATTCATCTTCTTGGTTCTTTCGGTAAGTCACGTGAATGGAAATAATAAAATAATAAAATAAACCAATAAAATAATTCTCACGACGTTTCGGCCACAACGCAAGCAGCCGTCCTTTTGTCAAGGCGCCCTTCCCCCCCCCCCCTTCCAACCCAGCTTAAATATACGCTCCAAGCATGGTGATGTTTCATTCAGACGCTGTCTCCCCGACAGACCTGGTCTTCACCTGAGGATGGCTGCTTGCGTTGTGGCTGAAACGTCGTGAGAATTATTTTATTATGTTTTATTTTATTATTTCCATTCTACGTGACTATACCGATAGAACCAAGAAGACACATGGTCATCGTCACGTGATTGACCACCCCACCCGCCTCAACTTGAGAACATCCAAATGGCCACTCGTGGGGCAGTCCTTGATTACAAGGAACTCCTGAAACCATCTTGAGAGAGATTCAGAGCAACGACACATTCATGAGATTCAAAGAAAGAGTTTAAAATTATCAATTTTTAGGGTGAGGCGATAGTCATTTCATGCCAAGATTCTTGCCATCGACCCTGAACCAGCTGACAAACGTTTGGCATTTGCCAAGATATTTCTAAACGCAAATGCATTGATCACATATTTGATCATTTAAGTGCACCGGTGGATTAAGAATTTCCATAACTGAGTGATATTAACGTACTGCTCTTGAGCTTCATTGGTTCGCTGCCCGAATGAAGCTCGAAGCGGTTTGAACAACCCCGGGTTGAAGTATGGCGCTGTTTGAACAGGTCGCGTTTAGTCTCGCCTTGTGAAGGGCGACGCGAGTGTTGCCGGTGTGAATTCATCTGGCATGTGTCGTCTTACACAAAGCAGTTGTGACGGGGATTGGACCCAAAGCTATACACGCACATTAAAGCCATGTCCACATCAGCTGTACAATCCACGTTTTAGGAGCTCTCTTCACAGCTGGCTCAGCAAGAGATCGATAAGCCACGTGTAGTTATAGCCTCGTTGTATGAAGAAAATTTTAAAAGTATATTCATTAACTTAAATTATAATTGTTGGGTTAAAATAAATGTGAATCCATGTTTGATTCATTGGATAAATGGAACTCCATATTTATGCTTACATTTGAAGTTTATTTTGATAATTAATTTGTAAAATAGCCGTGGCAATTTTTGGTTGATTTACAAGATTAAAATACGAGGTTGGGGGGTTGTTTAGTGGTGTGGGCTAGTGTGGCGTCTCTGTGGCGAGATGTTATCTCCTTCGTGTGGTATATAGGAGGCATGCATTCGATCGTGACCCTGCCACGTGTATTTGGAATGTGTGTTCTCCCTGTTGGTCCCATTGATTTTTATTCAAGTTCTCTGGTTTTGTCTTCCAAATTTGCAAACATCAATTTCGATTATTTGGCTCCTGTAAATTCCGACATGGTAATCCACTTTGATGAGCTGTCATGCGTGGCCCAGTCGCCTCTGAAAAAAAGATCAAGTGTAGAGGTAAATAAAATAGGATTACAGGCAGTCCTTGACTTACAAACACCCGACTTACGAATACGTACGAACCAGCTTCTATGAAATATACTCTTTGAACATTGACTTTAAATGCGAACTCGCACTTCAAATCTGAACTGCGGAACTTGTGTTCAGTGGAGCGATCCTCTGCGAGATGTCATGAGTTAGTCGATCGTGAGTGTGTGCGCACGTGTGTATGTGAAAGTGAGTGTCAAGGTGTGTGCATGAGAGTGTGTCTGTGCCGGGTCTAAGCAAGAACATCTCCTGGACTACATAGTGATGGAACAGCGGATGCGGGCCCATGTCCTTGCCACCAGGACCTACCGTGGAGCTGATCTGCCACCTGACCATCGAATTGTCGCCTGTAAGGTGTGCCTGCCATTCTTCCACTCCAGTGGTGGGTGTACACCCAGGACCCAATTCAAAGCCATCCTGGCATGGTCCCAACTATTTGATGAAAGTTGCAAGCGAGAATTTCATCATCGCTTGCGGCTGGGGTTTGCATCGTCCCCCACTCCTGATGTCGGGGGGAAATGGGCGAGGTTTAGGACTGTGGCTCATGCAGCTGCAATGGCTGCTTTGGGTACACGGTCCAAACCTCAGATACCCTGGCTGACAGATGTGTTCAGGCTGGCTGAGAAAAAGCGACAGGCCCACTCATCGTCTACAGCAGGGGTCCTCAAACTTTTTAAACAGGGGGCCAGTTTACTGTCCCTCAGACCGTTGGAGGGCCGGACTATAGTTAAAAAAACTATGAACAAATTCCTATGCACACTGCATATATCTTATTTTGAAGTGAAGAAACAAAACGGGAACAAATACAATATTTAAAATGAAGAACAAGTAAAGTTAAATCAACAAACTTGCCAGTATTTCAATGGGAACTATGGGCCTGCTTTTGGCTAATGAGATGGTCAATGTCCGGTTCCATATTTGTCACTGCTAGTCGTAACAAGTGATGCAAGTGTGCATCCGTTAGTCAGAATCAGAATCGGAAACGGTTTTAATCGCCATGTAAGTTTGCACAAACAAGGAATTCACTATGGTGGGGCGGTGCATACATTGAACAAGTAGGAATCTTAACTTATATAAAAGGTATACACTCTAACTATACTAACGTTACAAAGTATAAGTAATACCAAAGGGCTAAAATCTTTAAAATTATTAATAAGTAGACCTTATAAAATGCGAATGTAAAATGTTAATTAGCCGTATTAAACAATCTTAAAATACAAAAATACAAATAAGATTACACGTTGTAAGTATGGAAAGGTGTAATTATGTAGATAAAATGTTATAGTAAGTGTAACAGTCATTTTAAGTGTAAAAGTCATTTTAAGCCCTTGGCCTTGATGAGGAGGCCAATAGCAGATGGGAAAAAACTGTTTTTATGACGTGGGGTTTTGGTCTTGATGTACCGCAGCCTTCTGCCGGAGGGGAGTAGCTGGAACAGAGAGTATCCAGGGTGCGAGGAATCGTCTAGATCTGGTTGGAGATTTCAAATGTTTCATTCTGGAAAAAGTCTGTTCACAGACATAAGTGCTGCCAAAGATGGTAAGTGCTGCCAGAGATGCATAGAAATTATGAAGGCTGCTTGACTTGAATGCGTCTTTCAGAGAGTCACAATTCTGCAGTTCAGCCAGTTCCATTTGGTAAATTGTATCCACATTTTCAATGTCAATAGAAAATGGGTTATGGAAAAGCTGTATGTCCTGTTCATGGAGATGAAGCTCTTTAAATCTAAATTGGAACTCCTTTTGCAATTTTTCCAGTGAATCCACACATGTTTTGTTTGGGAATGCAACCAATGGTTTTTCCGCTAAAAGATTTTGAGTTGTGGGGAGATGGCAGAAGTTTTCCTCCTTCACTTGTTTGATGAGGAGGCCTAATTTTACTTCAAATGCTTTGACATGTGATTGCATATCACAGATGAGCTTCCCCTTTCCTTGAAGTTGCACATTGAAACTGTTGAGTAGCTCTGTTACATCTGTCAGAAAGGCAAGGTGCCATTTCCATTCTGCATCATTGAGCTCTGGTACTTCTTTGTTTTTTGAAAGCAGAAAAGCTGTAATCTGTGGAAGTAAGTCATAGAAACGTTTCAAAACTCTCCCTCGACTCAGCCAACGGACTTCTGTGTGGTACAGAACATCTTCATAGTCAACATTTAGCTCGGACAGAAATTCCTGAAATTGTCTGTGGTTTAGTGCATGAGCTCTAATGAAGTTAACGCAAGATACCACAATTTTCATAACAGAGTCCCACTTCAGTAATTTACTACACAGCGCTTGTTGGTGGATGAGGCAGGGTATGGCTATTGGATGAGAATGGTTATGTTTGTCCATCTCTTGGTTAATGCGAGCAATTACTCCTTTCTCAGACCCCACCATGCTAGGAGCACCATCAGTTGTCACACTGGCTAGTTTAGCCCAGTTCAGCTCCAAACCATTCACAGTTTGGCAAACCTTTTCATAGATATCCTCTCCTGTAGTTGTTCCTTTGATGCTTTGCAGTGCAGCAAGCTCTTCTGTGACTTCGAAATAGTCATTCGTCCCACGAATAAAAATTAGAAGTTGTGCAGAATCACGAACATCATTGCTTTCGTCGAGTGCCAAGGAAAAATAGGAAAGTTTTTTTGTGGAGTTTTGCAAATGCTGATGCAAATTGTCTCCCATTTCTTCAATCCTCCGTGTAATTGTAGGTCCTGAAAGACTCACTGTACTAAATAAATCGGCCTTCTCTGGACACATCTCTTTGGCAACAGAAAGAAGGCATTCTTTAACAAATTCTCCCTCCACGAATGGTCTGCCAGTGCACGCTATTAGCTTGGCAACTTGAAAACTTGCTCGCAGTGATGAAATATTTAGCTGCTTCTGCTTCACAAAAGTATTTTGCTGAGTTGTTAATGTATTTTTCAGTTTTAATATTTTATCTTTTCTCATTTCTCCGACCAAACAATCATATGTATCTTTATGTTGAGTTTCATAATGTCGACGTAAATTGGATTCTTTGAACACAGACACTATATTCTGGCATATCAGACACACAGCTCTTTCCTTGTACTGCATGAAAAAGTAATCATAAGTCCACTGTTCTTTGAATATCCTACACTCCGAGTCAATTTTTCTCTTTCTTGACATCATTGTTTCCTAGGGAGTCAAAATTGCTATTAGTAAAATACCAATATATATACAGCGCTACAAAAACAATATACCAGCAATAACTTTGCCCACACAGAGACATACAGACTGCACTGCCCATCAATGCAGTCTGATTGGGGGAACTCTGCTTTTACCCCAGGCTCACACTGGTGCGGGTGCCATTAAAAAGTTAATTACACCTGCAGTTTTGTTCACAGATCGCAGTGCGATCTGCGAACTCGCATAGGAATCTGATCGCATGGGGGAGAAGACCCATGCAATCCGATTCCACTGCAGGAAAAAAGAAGGCACATGTGCCTTTTTTCTTCCGAATCTAATGCAAGTTCAGCCATACAAGCATATGGCTGAACTCGCACTGCTCAGAGATCGCAACAGTTTGAACCGGGGCTTACACAACATACAACATATAACCTCATATAACTGAATATCAATCAGAATATAAATGCACTTACTGTCATTTAAATTGGGTTTCCTACTCCTCGGCTGTCTGTCACTGACCAGCACGGGAAAACAGCAGGCAGCCCCTCCAGCCCAATTAGTGACCATGGGCCGGATAAATGTCCTCGGCGGGCCGCATGTGGCCCGCGGGCCGTAGTTTGAGGACCCCTGGTCTACAGCATCCCACGTCAGAGAATGAGGAGGCTGACCGCAGCCTTCGCTCGGAGGTTCGGAAAGCCGTGAGGCGCTGCAAGGATGGTTTGTGGTCGTGGGTTGCTGAGGAGATGGAGTCTACCTCAATGGCCTGCTATCACAAATCGCTCTTTAATTACTCTGGTTTTTTTTCGGTAAAGTCATGTAGGTAACATTTTTTAATAAATTAAATCACGACGTTTCGGAGACAACACAAGCTTCCGTCTTCAGGCGGAACCGTCACAGCAGAATTACTGTATCAAGTGAAGAGAGCTCTCAGAGACACGAGATTATACATAGATTAAGAAGGGGGGAGGAGCCAGGATGTGCCGCGGGGGGGGGGGGGTAGATAAGCTGGTGACATCATTTTTATGCTGCAGGAGATGGCCAGTGAGTTAAAACGTGGCCGGAATTTAAGCTGAACAAAAGGGAAGCTAAGTTAAGCCACCTTTTGTTATGCTGCAGGGGATTAGGAGGAGGTTAAGGGAGAAGGTAAAGCTGGGGGGGGGGGAGGACGGATGGCCCGAGGGCGAGCCGTGTGGAGTAGAAGCAGCTAAACTGCTTGCCTTGCAGTATACTACATTAAACTACAAGGCTGCTAAAGTTTAACTTGGTTAATTACATATGGATATGTTTATGATAATTGAATATTAACTGTCTGTCTAGCCATAAACTGCACGTGCAGCTAACGTTTAACTTGGTTAATTACATCCTTCCAATGATTGCTCGATCTGAATCCATCATCTCGGTTGAAGTTATGTCTATGTTTGTTTGTATATCTGGATCGCTTCATGGACAAATCTTTGGTAGTAACCTGGAGGTTTACAGAGCACCTTGGTATCGGAGAAAACAATGTCATGAGAACCAGCAGTATTACAACAGTGGTCAGTTACGGCTGAAGAATTCGT